CTCTTCTCTCTCTCTCTCTCTTGTCGGCCAATTAGAGTCGACGATGCGATATGATAATTTCGCGAATGGGATTGGTTGCGGGAGGAGGGTGAAGGAGGCGGAGGAGGAGGAGGAGGACCGATAATCAGGTCGATGCTGTTTGGACTCTAAATATGCATCGGCCGGTTTATGCAGAATGCAAAACATCTAGTTTCGCGAGGCTATTGTATGAGAGTGCTAGAGCTGATGAAAGCCAAATATTTCCTGGGAAATTCATCTCGCCAATTTTACTTGATTTGTCGATACGATAATAAGTAATTCATATCCTACAAGCCAATGGTAAATAATACAAACGACAAACCAACGCAAGTGCATGTACAATCGAATTCAATTATAATTATTTATTGGAAAGGATGTGGGATCAGTTGTTAGGTAATATATGTATATTCCTCCAAAATATATTTAATACAAATTGTAGGTATGATACGAATTTATATTTGCAAAATTTATTAAATTATTGATGTTTATTGTTAATTATTAGATAATCGTGAAAATGGGAAAAGAGATTGAATTCCATAAAATACTGTTTTAAACACATGTTAACTTTTCAATTTTTTGAAAAACTCGCGATTGACACTTTCCTTTATACAGCGGCTTTATGTAGTGTACAATTGTAATGCACAATTTGTGTACACCAGCTTGCAACAGATATATCATGGTGATTTAATAAAATCAAATTTGTCGACGATATTGCGGGAATGAACAGCTTGTTAATTACACAGACATTTGCTTATAATGAGCCAACAGTGTTTTATCATCGATTTTTCCAGCATGCCAGACACGGTCTCGTTATAAACGTGGCAATATTGTTCCTCAGATTTGCAGATTGCAAAATCCATGTATGTATGAGTGAGTTGCAAATTATCGCCGACGGGGACAGAGATTTTTTCTGTACACATAAAGGGACGGGAAGATTAATTATCTGGCATGATGTTCGCGCGCGAAGAAACGCGTTAAAAAGTTGATAAGATTTTTCCACGAAATTAATTAACGCACCGGCCCATTGGATTCGCGAGCGGAAACTTTTGGATCGTACATATTTTGCACGGATATTTTCGTGGATATTGCGAAAACGTCAACGGGTGCAACGCTGATGACAACAAAACGCTGCCCGGCTGGAATAAAAGCAAATAGATTGCGCCCACTGCCGCATTGTGCGCGGGAAATAAAAAAAAAAAAAAAAAAGAGAATAACGTTTCGTGATGTATTAATGAAACGCGAGATAAATCAAAATAATTCGGCTCGTGCGTGTGCGCTACGCGATTTGCTTTTGAAAATAATACCGCTGGCGTATACTGACGAAACGGGACACGGGGTCGGCGATGCATGGAAGAGGTCTATTATGCCTCGCAAAAATGGAAATAAAGTGCCAATCAGATTTATTACGAGATAAATCGAAACAATTTGCACATTGCACGTTGACCCGTAAACACATCATCACTGGTTTATTCAGATGGTAAAAGAGTTCTGCAAAGCTGCCGTGCAAAAATAACGTTGATAAAATAGACATAAAATGCGAAATATATTTTAACGGGTAGTGAAGGCGTGCTCGAAATCGCAAATGCGTTTTTCTCTATATAGGATGTTGTCGAACAAAAAATTTCAATACAAGATTCTTAAATAGGTTTTAAATCAATAGAAAATATTTTTAATAATATAGACATTTTTTCTTCTTTTTTTTTTAAATATTGATTCAATGTTATATTTATAGTATACTTGTGTATGTTTCAATAATCAAATGTTTTGATCCATTATTTATTTAGAACCGACATCAAAACAAAGATTTATATTATGAATATATCGATAAAATATGTAACATAATACTTCATAATAACCCATAATATGCTTATAAATTATTATTTAATACACATATTTGTGCGTTTCGTGACGTGTCGCATTATAAAGTCAAAATAAGCTAAACGCTCAATTATTCATGTGTTCGATTATTGAGGATCCGCGTCAAGTAAATTATAATTAAACGCGTTTGAAATTTCACAATTAACAAAAATATTTAAAATTATCTTAATACGTGAGCCTTGAATATATTTTGCATTGTGTCTGTTAATGCAAACTAAAATGCCAAAATTAAATATGCGGTTGATCGTTTATTAAATTCCAACGATATAATTCGAACGATCCAGTTGAAAATTATAATAAAACAACAACGTGATTATACCTTCGTGCCCATCATGGTGTAGGTTTTGCCCGATGCGCTCTGTCCGTAAGCCACCAAACAAGAGTTATATCCAGCAAACAGGGCGTCCAGGATCGACTGACCGAGTGTCTCGTAGATCGTCGCTTGAGTGGCGTAATTCTTCGCTTTTGGATCCGACGAGTCGAAACAATAATCGAAACCATATCTACGAGTCCTCTCACGACTGTCCCCGGCCTTGCTCGATGATATCTTCAAATTTGTTAGTGAAATCTCGTTCGGTTCCGCGCAGACCACCACTTCCGATCCCGTCAAATTTAATTCCCTGCATAAAAAATGGATGCAATTACTTATATTAATAGATGAAGAATTTAGGAATCTATATATACATATAAAAGTCAAAAAATTCAGAAATTGTTATTATTAATTTTTTCTTTTTGTCTTTTTTTTAAGTGTGTGACACTTGCTCTAAATTTCCACACTACCAAAAATTGGATGCATAATTAAGGATAATTATATTATAAGCAGTCAACAGAGATTATTGCCGGAAGAAATCATCGTCTTGATTACAGTCTTTACATTTTTGAGCACGTATTATACGAGTTTATTAATCCTCCAAAATTAAAGAATATAAAAATTTGAGGATCTCAGAATCCGACAATTCGAAAAATTTAAGAATTTAAAGATTCCAAAACCTTAAGAATCTAAAAAACTCAAGATTCTTTATTTTTGCTTAAAGAATGTAGAGTATTCAAATAGTTCGAAAAGCGTTACGTTTCGGAGCTACAAAACATTATTAAAACTTATTCTGTCATAAAGATTTCGCAGAATCGACCGATCAAATGAGGAATAATGGGTGAAATCGTGGCAAATATTTGCGAGAGGGTCAATGAACGCGCGCGGGCACTGCAAACAGCTTCGCCAACATTTTCGAAGCCAGCATCATTTTTCCTCCTTTCTCGTCAGCACGTGTTACGCTCCCGCCGTTCTTTTTTATTTCATTCTTTTTTTTGCCAAGCACATTTTTTCATGCTTCGTGGATCGGAATCGATTCATCGAAAAGCGGTGGCGGCAGCGGCGACGATGCATACACCGTGCGTCGCGTTCACACGGGGGTGTGCACCTCCCGTGTTATTTTATAGAGGGCTTTGCCCGATTTCCTCAAAGCGCTTCCGACTGCTTTGTAAAAATTATCCCCTTTAAGCTTTAATATTTTGTTAATTTTAGAATTGCGGCATTAAATGTTTTGTGCACGACAAGTATTTTTATCTTTATATTTGATAAAATTCACGTATCACGCGAATTAAATGTTAATGTGCGATCAAAAAATAGATAAATTCGAGAAATTAAGTTTTCGTGTAATGATCTAATAACATTATTATTTCTACTTTATCTTTAATAATTAAAAGTAAATTACATTATTAAAATATCTTTTATGCATCTTGTATACTGCACATAAATGATATGAAATTAATATGGTTCAAAAATGGATTAATCTAACAATGTAAAAATTCTCTCTCTCTCTCTCTCTCTCTCTCTCTCTCTACAATTAAAAAAAATTAAAGATCGCACAGATAAAAGATTCATAAGATTCAAAGGTCCAAAAGTTCAAGATGTCTTTCGATCCAAAAACATGCAACAAGTCCTGGGGAAATCACGTTACATCGTGAATTACGGATGATCGTGTTTTCGGGTCAGTCGGTGTCGCGTGGCGCTCTATTTTGCGTGCCGCGACAGATAGCAGCATGATTATATACGCGATATATCCTCGTGGCGTACGCGGGTGCCAGAGGAGAGCAATGCAGTACTTTAACCCCAACTTTTGCGTGATACTGTCGGCCCTGTTAGACTCACCCTCGTCCTAATCGAACAAATTCGGTACGATTTCGTGCCGCGATTCGCGTTTTAACCGCAAACAAAGTTCTCGCTAATATGTTGTGCAGGCAAGAGACAATCCGACCGTGTATTTTCAAAAGAATCTAATCTAACAAAAAACAAAGATAATTTCAGAATATGTAATAGTAAAAACTTACATAAATAAAAAATTATGTGAGGGGTGAAAAATTTATGATATTAATAATTATGATTTATATAATGTCTCATTTTTATTTTGTTGTACGTTTAATGTTGAAACAGTGTGATATTAACTTGAGAAGGTACGACTGCATTTCACGTTTAAATGCGTCAAAATTATTCAAATTTTTCACTTTTAATGCGTACAGTATGAAAATACATAAAATAATTGCCATTGTAAAGTAATTTTGTAAAATTAATAATGAAGTAATTGCGAAGTCAACACTTTTTAAAGTACATGCAACAGATGTTGTATGGCATTTATGATATTATGATACAAACAAGAACGCGGTTGTTAGTTCATCTCCGCTCTGTTTATTTATCTTCGCGCTTTAATCCCTCGAGAGAAGAAGCTTGCGAGAGACGGAGTTGTTGACAGGTTATATGATAATGGACGTGGAAAGTATTATTCTTACTAAGCCTCGATTGATAAGATGATTTTTCTCTCTTCGGGCAGCTCATCTTTTGTCACAATTGATCCATAATTTTGCATATTTAAATTTTACACTTTTGTATATTCCTAAATTTTTGGATAAAATTATTAAATTGCTAAATAAAACGTTGAATTAAAACGTTCTTGAATTATGTTAGAGAAAAAACAAATACATAACGTCATCATAATTTTTTATGTCAAAGATAAAGAGCGCAATATTGATAACATGCTGTTCTTGCAGAAAAGGCAAACCACTGTCTCGTTATATGCTTAATGGATTTATGATTTATGAGCACTTTTGGGAGTTGCGCCATCCCATTTCGCGCCGCATTGGCCGATGGATGTAATAAAAGAGACGCGCGTATCCTCAATTCTCTGGCGCCGTAGCGCACGAAAATAACAATGCCGACGCGTTAAGGCGATACACGCCGCGTACCTGTCAAGCGGAGGCAACTATAAACGGAACGGATGCGCCGCCAGCTGTCAACGTAAGGTCGCCTTGCGTTTTGTCACAAAGCCATGATGCTGCTGTCGATCCCCCATGCGACCAAACCCCACGCTAAGTCAATGAGAGTATTTTCGGTGCGGACCCCGCGTTCGGTATCATTAAGCTTATGCGCAGTCGAAAGCAATAACGAAAGCAGGCCTCTCTTTGTTTGCCATGAAAATTAAAGCGTTTCGTGCAATGAAGCAAATGCGTAAACGCGTTATATTTAAAGCGGATTTTGTAGACTAATCTCATTTTCTTGCACTAAAAAATTTTAAAATTCATAAATCTTCTCTCATTTATGCATAAAGCTAAAGTGATCAGGACAGACAGATGGATATAGGACTTAAATATCTTGTCATCCAAGAATATAAAAATTTAATAATCTTACAATAGAATTTAGGGAATTAAAAATTCAAGACGCTACGAATCTAGAGATCTGTATGTTTATTAAATTTCAATGAATGTCTTCAAAAATCTGTTAACTAAGAATTAAAAATCTATCTATTGATTCAAACGTACACGTGGTGCGAATGTAAGCTTTACATATTTAAATAAATAAAGCTCAAGCGAAATCCGAACACTCCTCACATGGCCATGTGCAATAGGTTTCGGCGCGAAATCTTCATTCGAAACATTCATTTCCTGCTGCAAACGAATTCCGTGAGACCCCATTCTGTACCTTTAAATACTCGCGGCTAAGACCTAAATACCGATTATGCCTGATTCATACGATCGTGCGAAGGAGCAGAAATCTAGAAAATCCATAAGTAACTTTTCCGAAAACTGAACTTGGTTAAAATTGTTATTTACATTTTTCGTACTTGGCATACTTTGGAAAATAATTTTATTTGCTCGAAATATGAAAGCCGGAGGTATGTTACTGAAATATTCAAGAGAAAGAGAGTACTAAACTCTCTCGACACAGCCGAGGCCACGGAGATCCACAATTAAGCACCTCTAAATTATTCGGCTGGCGCAGCGCGACCGGGTGCACCGGCGCAATGAATCACACTTTAATTACGATTTGCAGTGCGAATAAACGCGCAATAACTCGCGACAGAAACCTTCCCAGAAGGTCCTCAAGTTCTCGACGCTCAATTGCTTTCGTTTGCGCTTCCGGTGACTCCACTCCGGTCGCCTTTACCGCCTGCGGACGAGCGCGTGCGGTTGTCTTTTTGCCGCCACTCTAGTAGTCTAAGTATAGAAACGAGTTCATAAGTGTTTGCGCGGAGAAATCGCGCACGAGTGCGTAAATCGAAAATTTGAAGGTGTAAAAATTTCGAGAAAGAACGCAAAGATCTAATCTAATTTAAAAACTTCAGAATTTAAGAATTTAAAGTATTGGATTGTCTAAAGAATTTATTGTTTTTTTAAGATTTTATAATACAAAAATTTAATATTGCAAAATTGCAAAATCTACAACACAAAATACTCAAATGTTTCAAATTGCCATATGAAAGGATGTTTGCAATTCGTGTAGTTTTTCGGATTGATATAAAAGAAATGAGCGTATTTTGTAAACTAAAGATTCATAAACCTTGAACCTCGCTAGAAATAGAAATTAGAGGTACTTGCTGCAAGAAAGTGTTACCGATATTTTTTAGTACCCTTATTGTTTAAAGAGGTTCTCTGCTCTTCTAGTTTACTGTGATGATTCACGCTTGTGATGTTTGAAAATAATAGTCCTAAAATATTTGATAAACCTTGACATATATTAGTATACTTTTAAATCTCAACATTTACATAAAAAAGAATAGAAAATGTAATCCTTAATAATAAATGTGATTCTTTTTACACTTTTAATAAAGCATTTTTTATGTGCCACAAAATACATATCTAGATGTTTCTTTTATTAAAAATAGATATGTTTGCAAAAATGATACAGCAGAGATTAATTTATTTATAGAATTTTTCTGGTGCATCACGATAACTCGCCGCTGAAATATGATTCTGAGAGATTTAAAACTCCATTAAAAAGGAATTGAATTATTACAAGCTTACAGTCTTATTAGCAACACGCATAGCTCAAAATATCTCAAAGCACACCATTGATATGAACATATTTTGCTTTATATTCTTTTATACCTGATTTTCGTAAAATCAATTTTCTATTAAATATCACATAACTATGTTATGTCAAAATGATAATTTTATTAAATTTTGTTGTCATGTGTAACATATAAAAATGTATAATTACAGCTTATGTGACGGCAATTAAAATTTATGTAATAATAATTTATTAGACAATATGAAAACAATGATATTGCAATTATTGTTTTCTGGGAAATTGTATTTGCACTTTTTGTTCAGTGATTAATTTCAATATTTGCGAAAAGATAAATATTTCGTCAAAGCGGGAAGAAACATCGTACTCACCTAGCAGATATCGGTCTCACGCGCACGGCCACTTTGATATTCGCCATGTTAACATGTCGCGAACGACAACGAATGACATCATCCGGCCGCCTTAGTCTCGCTGATGTTCTCCAACGGCATCGTTTGCTAAGGTTGTCGATAAACGTCGATCTGAATGCGATGACGAGACACGCAGAGGCGAATCACCGACGCGAGTCACATCGTCCGGCGGCTCGCTTGACCCGTTCGCCACCGCCACAAATTTAGTAGCTTGAACCGGCGACGAGAGAAATCAAGACGAATGCGTGCACCGGCTGCACCGGGTGCACGTGTTGCACTGCCGCGATGAAAATACCCTCGAGTCGCTCCCGAGACCATCCCGTTCGTGGTTTTACCCCACCAGGAGTGAGCGAGTAAGTTGGTGAGCGAGTGCCTCGACTGAACTCATCGTGCCATTTCGCCCGGACGTTACCCGACTCCTTTGCCCCCGACGACACCAGCCCGGAAAAAAGAGCACTGCGAGCCGGTGAATTATGTGTACAAGGCGTTCCATAAGATGCCAGACAACGGCGGTTCCATAATTAGGGCTTAGAGGGAGAGTTTTTCGTGTTGCTCGCGCTGTCAGAGTTTGTTGTTGTCGAAGGGATTTAAGATCCCTGAAGAGATTTAAAGATCCGTGAGCGCGAGATATATGAATGCTAGCTGGAGCTAAGTGCAAGGACGTCGTGATCTATGAACTCAAGAGTTTAAGAATTCGTGCGTCTAAAAATATAAGGATTTTACGACCTTTGAAACTACGAGTTCAAGAGGTAATAAAGATTTAAGAACCTACTAGTTGAAAAAGTTAAAAAAAGTGACAGAATTTTAAGCATTCTCAAGAATTTAAAGATCGCAGAACCGAAAAATCGAAATTTTTAGAAATATTAGAAAAATTTTTAATATCTCAGTGATCTAACAGAGGATCTAATTTCGATACGTATTCTCGACATCGTTTGAATCTGTCGCGAACTAAATCGCAACTTACGAATTATCCTGCAATTTAACGAACCGACCTCGCAGTGGAACGGGCAAGAACAAATTGTCGCTGTTGCGGCGCCGTCGATTACGCCGTATTGTACAACGAGAGCATAATAGCCGGCGTGTCTCGGTGTTTAGCGGAGTTTACTGGGTTAGTATGTTGCGCGAGGGTGGCGCGCGCGGCTTAACAGTGTCTATCGACGGGAAATTAATCAGAAGGCAATTTGTGCTGCGTTCGCTCGAGAGAGAGGAACATCTCTCACATTTAACAGAGAATACGGACAGCCGGCAGAGAAGCTTTTTTCGGGTTATCGCAGTCCCCCCTTTTCATATGCCTCTTCCATTTCGCCGTGTATCGCAGTGTGTAGCTCTCATCCTGGTCCCCTTGAGGCGCTTCATCCGTCTTTTATGCGTTCTTAAAAGTGCGCCGCGACTTTCAGACCAGGGCCCTCTTTGATCCCCGCATGATATTTTCGGTCTAACGGATCGACTAGCGTATTCCGTGTGTGAGATAGAATCCCGCACCGCGATTGCCAGCACCGCTGATCTTTTACTCTTCGTTCATAGTCATCAGAATTATCATGTAGCAGAAAGATATGTTGAGCACCTGCAAACAACGCGTCCATTTATCGCAACGTATTTCGTTTCAAAATTGTAGATTTATGAAATCATCCCTTTCGTATTCAACAGCTTGTCGTAAATAAATACATTCTTTTTTCACTTTTTTATTTTAATCTTTAGAAAACCGACGCGCTGTAAATTATTGGACATTGAATAAATTTTTAGCAAATGTATAATATTTTTTGTGAAATTTTGTTTATGATTATTTGTGGATGATGGTTTATTTAGATTTTGATAATATAATTCGTTTAAAATTAAATATATTTAACATTTGATATAATAATAAAATCACTCACTTAAGAAAGGTTTCCGAAAGACATATTGTAGAATTTCGCGGCGGTTGATCCTGGCATCGACCGTATCATGACAATCTGTAGACTTCGACCGAAACTGCCACTGCCAATCCAATTCTATGATAAGCCGATTCGCCCACGGTGTCGCACTGCTCGTTGCAAGCGTTGGCCGTAAATTAATTACAGGCGATTGTAAGATCAGTGAACTGTATACTAACGAAGATACATGCGATAGGTAATCGGCCGATGCAATTACTGTGCATTGAGTCTTTTGCTGCTTATTAAAACTCTTGCACTTGATAAATATTGGCATCGTTAAATCGAAAAAAGAATTATGGCAATTTTAAGTGGAAACTCATATAACAACATAAACGCAATTAATTATTGGACAATAAAATAATCCAGTACTTTGTGAGCAAATAATCAGCACTTGCAAATTAATTGAGTAATGTTTGATTATAGAGTATATACTCGTATATAGAGTAATATTCGTCTATTAATCTGTTTCCACTGAAACTAAACATGAAAAGCTCGAGGATGGCAGAGTTCAAAACGATCGAGTACTTTATCTTCCATTATTTAGAGCAACATTTGATAGTAATGTTACTTTGGGTCCATTAATAAGCATTTTTTAGCAAACGCACCGAAGTGATTTGATATCCCGCGTAGCAAACCAAACCGATGCTAATAATAAACTGCCCAGACAACACGCGTGAAAAAATGCCCTTTTTGACGTCTTTCAGATGTCTCTAAGACATGCATGTTGTCTGGGTGTCTTACGACATTAATGAAATTGTCTGAAATAAGGAAAGTTATTGCAAACATGTTGCGACTTTTTTAAGAGAAACAAATAATAAATATTGCAGATAAATTGATACATTTGCGAATGTAAAATTTTACATAAGTTCTTCATTTAAAGCATACCTAGCTGATATCTTGCCAGACAATTTTATCCTCTAAATATTTAAAAAATTACATCTTATCAAACTTTGATAAATTATCCGCATTTTAACAGTGAATCCGAAAATATTATCTGTAATTGAAATGTAATATCGACACACACGTGATAACATTTTGATGACATTTAATACAGTCGACCATGATTTTATTGGCGTCGAGATTATTACTACTGATCGTCTCCTTCGCAACACGGCGAATTTTGCCGACCGTATGTTATCGCGACGAGATTGAAGCTGGTAGCGCCGGTTATTGCGCCATCCACGAAGCAACCGGCTATTATATTGAAAACGTAGATACACTCGTAGACGGGCGAGACGGTCTGATTGATGAAGAAATGACCCCGAAAAAGGGAAGAATCTTCTCAGCTCTCAGAAAATATATCTAGTCGAGCATTATTAATTCCTTGAAACCAGTTAGATCAATTAAATGACCGATCGTTAATTAAATATTTTTTGTTGTTTACACATATAGAGTTACTTACTTTGCAAAGAATCGAAGAATTGAAAGCTGAGATAATTGGATCACGATTGTTAGTTTGTTATTATTACTCATTGTCAGTATTGATTATTATTGGTTGCGCCGTGCATTCCTTTTCAATTCTAATTAATTTTCCATGATTGTTAATAATTTATTGACAATTTAATTACTCGCGCATCGGAGAAATAAATAAGTCGAGGGATTAACGTCTATGTATCGTATACGTGCGTGTGCAGGTGTTTTCGAAAGGCTCGTAAAGCGAAACGGCCATTGGAAAACAATTTCCCGTGTAAGGGCACTATCGCAACATTTACGAAGCAGTAATAAACAATTGTGGTAGCGCACTAAAAAAAGTAAAAGAAAAAAAATAGAAAAAGTAGAATTCGGAAAAACTACAAATGTCAGCGTTAATCATCACGCAGTTTGCGTTGCCGTATCGCACGTTTTGCATATCGCGTGTTTCGTCAATTTATCGTTATTCTTTGAAACACAGGATAGACATCTGTAGAAAAGTTTCTTTTCGTTTGAGAACATTTATTTCGTTGAACGTCGCTTGTAATTAAAAGTTATCATTAAACATTATTTTGTCAAGAAAATATGCAGTTACATTTGAACAAACTTGCAGTTAATTATTCTACAGGTACAATTTAGCAAGAGATTTAATTAAAAAGTTGCATAGATAGAAATTCAAAGTACAAAGTAGAGCAATAAACTGTAGCTTTGACAGAACTAAAGTTTTATCATGAAAAGAAGAAAATGATCTAATGTCACTTTACACTAAAAATCAAAGTAAAGTTTTTAATATTATAATACTATAAAGTTATAAATTACGAACGTTACGAATAAAAAATTTATCTCTAAGCTTTATGTTAAAAACATTAGGAAAATATTTGACACAAAGAATTAAAAATTTATAAACAGATTTCCGATCAAATTTTTTTCACAGAAAATTATTATACATTTAAATTTTTTGTTACACTACGTATTTTTTTAGTTTATTTATGTTTTATTTATAGCAAAAAGTATCGAATAAATTACGCATAATTTTTTACACATACCTCAAAAATTGGTGTGCATGAGAAAGTTATGAAATATTTTATGAGGCGGAACGTAAAAAGACACTTCTTCTTCAAAATAATCTTGTCCTTATAAGATGACCAAACCCAGTCTTCTTTCATGATTTCAATCACATACAGTACATCCTTTCGATGAAGCGTATAGACGACGAGGCGTATTATGGTGAGATAAAAGGCGAAGCAGATTAAAGTGCATTCCATCATTTCATTCAAATCGTCAAGATTATAAATTACGTCGGCCGTCGCAGTCACGTCAAAACAAGTTATACGTTATATATAACACGTTAGATTATTCAAGTTGGATTTTATAGAGCGATCGTGTAAAAGTCACGTGAAATAATTATTTATTTATGAAAAAGTTTTACGAGAAGTGTTTGATAATGATATTTGATCAATGCAGTATATTTGATAATTGATACAGTTTCGTTAAAATTAATTTTGTGTAAAGTATGTTTTGTTTCTGTATTTCGAAATGTTATTCACAATTTATTTACTAAAATATTAATTTTACATATCATAAAAAACAACCAAGGTAAATGATGACAAATCCTGAACAGCACTGCGCTGATGGCCTTCTTCAAAGGCCAAATACAGATCAATTTGGCGACTATCATAATAGGTTGGATTAAGCTGTCGTATTTTTCACTATCGCACACTTGATACTCCATTCTTTTCTTTTCACTAGCTCACTATCAGTTGAATTCCTCGATGCTACCGCGACTCGTGACGTTCCACGACTGCGGAAAAGCCGGAAGTCCATCATTCGCGGTCTCTCACCGGTGAAAAGTTGACGTGCCAATCTCGAAAGTGCCAATCTTTTCTTCTCTGGCATTCTCGACATTCAATCGTGCGAACGACGAGATAACGACCGGATATCGCTCTCGTAGGTGGCATAATGCCCGAAGTTCAGAACTCTCGCTAACGGACGGTGCAAACTTCTCCATGAGTGCATAGACGTCAACTTATTTTCTTTCCAGTGTAAAAAGAAGTGCATTGCTATATCCTCTTCTTTTTTATATAATTTTTAGAATTTCTACATAAAAATTATGTATAATATTTTAGTCGAACAATATTTTTGCATTTGTTTTCAATATTTTAATGAAGCGATGGATTGATACTTTTTTGATAAAAACTTTGGGCTGGTTGGATCATTTCAGATTCTGCGCCAATGACACAAGGGTAGTATGTAGTTACGAATATTCTATGTAATCATGACGAGCGTGTAGAAAGTAGGAAAGTAATAGGCGGGTCTATCTTTTATCTCGCTAAGTGATTTTCGACTTTATTACAGGGAGATTTTGCGCTAAGAATATTTGCGTCAATGAACGTTCCGCATTTTATGTCAAAGTAATGAATATACATAATAAATGTGTAGAAAAAAAGACACTGTGCGTGTGCACACAAGACTTTTTGACAGACATAAGTATTGTATATCCTATCTTAAGAAAAGCACGTAAGATTTTTATTGTTGCCTTTTTTCCGCACTGATTGATTATTTTGATGCGCGTTGTGCGTTTAAGCGGTGCTATCGAGCGGCGAAAGTTGCACAGTTCATACCTTGAGAAGGTTAGTAGTTAAATTACATTTAAAAGAGAAACTAAACGACGTAGATTTTTTTGCTTAAACATTAATTTTTATATATAATTTATATAACTTGCAATTAGTACAGGTATTGTTTTGTGTTTAATAGAAAATATTCAAAGTCTTATATTCAAATCTTGATACATTTCTGAATTCTTTGTTTAAATCTTTTCTGCAGTATGTCAAAGATACAACTTTATTGGCTTAATATAAATGCTCACTCAAAATTTAATCCGATTAATTATTTTCAAATTATTCTATATATTTATGCAATAATCTAATCACAAGTTTAAGTCATTTACACACATTTTTATACGTAAATAATAGAACTTGTGTTAAATAACACGATATATAGTGCTCTTACAAATTGCGATAATCATGGTATAATAATATATATTATATATATAATAATATTATATTATAATATTAGTTTTATTAAACATATAAGACATATTAAATATATAATACAAACATATAATACATAATTCTTTGTAATTAAAAAACTAAATAACGAACGTAGTGCGCGTAGTTGTGTGAATAGTTTAATAAAACTACTTATTCTTAGTCTATTTCTCTATCATGAAAGCTATCAGAGAAAAGTATTTAAAATTAAATTTAAAGCATTAAAAACTTATTATTACTGTTTTTATTGTAACAAATAAAAATAGAACAATGTAATACAAATTTAAACAAGGGCATCTTGTAATAAAAAATTGACAAAAAAGTCGACATTTATAATGTTCATCTTCCGAAAATAAATCAGATAAATAAACACATACATGTAATAATTTTTTTATGCAATGATATGTCTTCAGCCAGTCATATCTATTTATTTCTGTGATCAGTATATTAATTGCATTTAACGCAGTAAAAATAATTCGAAAAGATACACATTTTTCATAATGTAGCCATAATAATTTCTTTTATATAGTCATAATTTAAAAGTAGTTTTATTTGATACAAATAGATAACAAAATAATTGTGCATTATTTCTCACAAAATCGTATATTCGTGTAGAAGATACACCGCAACGCGCGACTCTTTCGGTGAGATGTTATTAGTACACATACTCGCCATGAGATGTCATCGCATGTTTCAATCATTGCTAGATTTGGCAGATGTATCAATATTTACATTAAAATAAAAACTATTTTTTTGTTTTTATACTTTTCGACAGAAAGATTCTCGTATCGTATTCAGTCATACGCGTCCAATCACTTCATACGGACATAATGTCATTAAGAATTATTACTAAACAGCATATATGGAAATATTATATAAAACTTGCGAATTTTAAAGCACAGTGCATGTTTTGTGAAAAAAAATATTTTTATATCAAACCCGCAAACTTTGAAGAACATGTAGCTAGATGCCATAAAAAAATTTGGAAATACGAAAATGAGAGAAAACTAATAAAATGGCAATGGATGTACTTCAAGTATTCAAACAAATCATTTTCACAATGTATTATCTGTGATGCAACTATTCTGTCTACATTTGAATCAGAAGAAAATCACTTGAGTTCACATTCAGAAGAACAACGGCAGAAGCATATATATCGAAGTTGGGTATGGAAATATTGTACAAAAAAAGATGATTTTGCGGTGGAGTGTAATATTTGTCACAACAACTTGTCTCTTCCTATTCATACTAGTCTCGATTATCATATAAAATTGGCACATTTGGACAAATTAAAAAATACGCAAGGACCACGAGACACAGTTAGTTCGTCAGAACGCGTTTCATCACTTCAAACGGACATAACATCACTAAGAAAAACAACTAAAGAGCATATATGGGAATATTATATAAAACTGGCGGATTTTGAAGCACAGTGCATGTTTTGTGAAAAAAAATATTTTTATATAAACCACGCAAACTTTGAAGAACATGTAGCTAGACGCCATAAAGAAATTTGGAAATACGAAGATGAGAGAAAACGAATAAAATGGCAATGGATGTACTTCAAGTATTCAAACAAATCATTTTCACAATGTATTATCTGTGATGCAACTATTCTGTCTAAATATAAATCTGAAAAAAATCACTTGAATTCACATTCTGAAGAACAACGGAAGAAACAAATATATCAAAATTGGGTATGGAAATATTGTTCAAAAAAAGATGATTTTGCGGTGGAATGTAATATTTGTCACATCAACTTATCTCTTTTTATAAATTCTCGTCTCAGTTATCATATAAAATTGACACATTCGGACCAATTGAAAAATACGCAAGAAACACATAACACAGTTGATTCGTTAGAACGCGTTACATCAATTCAAACGGACACTATATCTATGTCACTAAAAGGTTGTTATGTTTTGTTAACTAGATATCCACCTTATAATCTTTACATATAAAAAATGCATAAAAAAAAATTTATTATTTCCTAAAAAAATACCAAAGTTTACACGAATCATCAAGAAGTTTACATATTTTCATTCATTGGCGTGAAATGCATTATTTGTGATAAAAACATATTATTTTTATCGAAAAGTTTGAAAGATCACTAACGCTCACATTCTAAGGAACAGTTAAAACAACATACATTTCAAGGTTGGCTATATGGAAGTACATACCAAAATTCATGATGTTAGAAGTACAGAATTCACGTCAATGACCATATTAAAGATAAACACCATTTGTCAAATTAATTAGATGAACATTATTTGGCAAGCTGAATAAAAAAAATGGCAGTAAGTATTATTGATATTATTGTTAGTATTACTGTGTATAATTAAATTCTTTATTCTTTTCAAATCGCGTTTAATGTTTAAAAAATATACAATACAATGGTCACAGCAAAATCAGGTAATTTTTTTTTTTACGTAAATATTATACTTGTTTATATAGATTTATCCACGCCTAGAAATTTAAATGATGGATGAACAATGCAAATGATGGTAAAGACATCCAAATAGCTTCATACTCATCAATAATGTTAGTCTCGATTTCGACGACTTTAATTTATTAAAAGATATATGTAAGAAAAGTGGCGTATATAGCTCTGACGTATAATTATTTGTTTTATGTTTTCAAAATTATAAATATGATTACAAATCTATGTTTTATAAATAACAAAATAACATTTTTTTAAATTATTAATTATAATTATAAATTTTATTATATACTATATTTTAATTTTGCAAACTATATTCTCAATTTTATTTACTGAAACGATTGAATGAAACAATCATCGACTTTTCTGTAAAAAGAAATATGCCAACAATATATATCATAATTTAATTTTACATATTTATTCTTTTATATAATTTTTGTACTGTATATAATGTAAATTTATTATTATAACTTCCGTAAAAAAATTTTTTGGTAAAAGTCTATAAACATTTTTCTGTAAAAGTCTCCGATTATAATACATTAATTGTCGGTGAAGTATATTTTAAATTTTTAAATTGTATTTATTCGAGAAATGTTTATGCGATACTTGTATGATGCATTTATTATAATACAATTAAATTCATCATAAAGAATGTGTTATTTTATTACTCAAAGGTAGAATATTGTAGTACTTGTTTGTTCTTGCGTCAATCACATGGCATTCTGTTCCATTTTGTAATATTATACTTATGAAATGTACGAGATTCTTATCATAGTTAAAAAAATAATTACAATATTTGTAACATTTATATATAATTATTAATTTTTTGCCCACGTATTTTATTTAACGTACGTAATTTAATTTTTATAATTATTTCAAATAGTTTTAAAGTAAAAAAATTTTTTATCGTTAACTGTATAACCGTTTTATTAAATTTTACACATGATTTATACGGCTTGCGGTTAATGCATGTATTTTTGACGTTTTATAGAAAATATTCAAAGTCTTTAAATCTTGATACATTTCCGAATTCTTTGTTTAAATTTTTTCTGAAGTATGTCAAAGATACAACTCTTATTGACTTAATATAAAAAATCTTCACTCGAAATTTAATCCGATTATTCATTTTTTAATTATTCTATACTATACATTTATGCAATAACCTAATCACAAGTTTAAGTAATTTTTACACATTTTTATCCGTAAATAATATGACTTGTGTTAAATAACGCGATATATAGCGCTACAAATTACAATAATAATATATAAATAACGGTGATATTATAATACTAATTTTATTAAATACATAATTATAATATATAATTCTTTGTAACTAAGAAATTAAAAAGCACACGTAGAGCACAAATAGTTGCACGTAGTTAGCGCGCGCGCGCGCGTATTTGTGTCCAGTTCAATAAAATTACTTATTGTTAATCTACTTCTCTATCATGAAAGCCATCATGGAATACGAGCATCTAAAATTAAATTTAAAGTATTAAAAACTGTTATTATTACTGTTATTATTATAATAAATAGGAATAAAACAATGTAATACGAAATTTAAACCAATAATTCAGGACATGTTGTAATAAAAAATTGACAAAAAAGTCGACACTCATAATGTTCATATTTTTAAAATAAATCAGATGAATAAACGCATACACGTAATAATTTTTTTATGCAATGATATGTCTTCAGTCAGTCATATCTATTTATTTCTGTAATAAGTATACCATATTAATTGCATTTAACGCAGTATAAATAATTCGAAAAGATACACGTTTTTTATGATGTAGCCATAATAATTTTTTTATATATATATAGAAGATACACCGCAACGACTCTTTCGGTGAGATGTTATTAGTACACATACTCGCCATGAAATGTCATCGCATGTTTCGATCATTACTAGATTTGGCCGTTGTATCAATATTTACATTAAAATAACAAACTATTTTTTCATTTTTATACTTTTCGACGGAAAGATTCTCGTATCGTATTCAGTCATACGCGTCCAATCACTTCATACGGACATAATGTCATTAAGAATTATTACTAAACAGCATATATGGGAATATTATATAAAACTGGCGAATTTTATAGCACAGTGCATGTTTTGTGAAAAAAAATATTTTTATATAAACCTCGCAAACTTTGAAGAACATGTAGCTAGACGCCATAAAGAAATTTGGAAATACGAAAATGAGAGAAAACTAATAAAATGGCAATGGATGTACTTCAAGTATTCAAACAAATCATTTTCACAATGTATTATCTGTGATGCAACTATTCTGTCTATATTTGAATCTGAAAAAAATCACTTGAGTTCACATTCAGAAGAACAACGGAAGAATCATATATATCGAAGTTGGGTATGGAAATATTGTTCAAAAAAAGATGATTTTGTGGTGGAGTGTAATATTTGTCACAATAATTTATCTCTTTCTATTCATACTAATCTCAATTATCATATAAAATTGACACATTTGGACCAATTGAAAAATACGCAAGAAACCCATAACACAGTTGATTCATTAGAACGCGTTACATCAATTCAAACGGACATTATATCTGTGTCACTAAAAGGTTGTTATGTTTTGTTAACTAGATGTCCACCTTATAATCTTTACATATGAAAAAATGCATGAAAAAAAATTTATTGTTTCCTAAAAAAATACCAAAGTTTACACGAATCATCAAGAAGTTTACATATTTTCATTCATTGGCGTGAAATGCATTATTTGTGATAAGAACATATTATTTTTATCGAAAAGTTTGAAAGATTATTAACGCTCTTCTTAACGTATTCTACAAAACTGTTAAAATAACATACATTTCAAAGTTGGCTATATGGGAGTACGTACCAAAAGTCATGATTTTCGAAGTAGAGTGTAATATTTGTCACACAATCACATCTGTTGCTATAAGAACTCATGTCAGTGACCATATTAAAGATGAACATCATTTGGCATGTTAAATAAGCTAAATAAAAGAAATGGCAGTAAGTTTTCTTGATATTATTGTTAATATTAGTATGTATAATTAATTTCTTTATCTTTTTCAAATCGCGTTAATTTATGAAAAATATACAATATAGTGATCACAGCAAAACCAAATAATTTCTTTTTTTACGTAAATATTATAATTGTTTTACATATTTATCCACTTCCAGAATTACACAATGCAAATGATGGTAAAGACATCCAAATAGCATCACAATCAGCAATGATGACAGTCTTGATTTTGACGATTTTAATTTACTAAAAGATATATACAGGGTGTCTGGCAATAATCGCCCCACCGGTCATATACAGGTAGAGAAGGTCAAATCGAGGAGAAAAGTCCTTTACCATTTTTTGATTTTTGTAATAAGTACTAAGTAATTAACGAAAAAAGATTGGTGAATCCGTGCAAGTAAAGCGCGCGCAGCGAGAAGGACATCCCACTGCTATGCGATCACTAGGCGCGCGATGAAGCGTTGAGAGGAGCGCTCTACAAATGACAATGGCAACATACGAGCGGCGCGTAACGCTAGATCCTTGTGTCCTAGTGATCGCGTAGCAGTGGGACGTCCTTCTCACCGCGCGCGCTTTACTCGCGCGGATTCGCCGATCTTTTTTCGTTAATTACTCAGTACTTATTATGAAAATTAAAAAATGGTAAAGGACTTTTCTACTCGATTTGACCTCCTCTACCTGTATATGACCGGTGGGGCAATTATTGCCAGACACCCTGTATAATAAAAGTGGCGTATATAGCTCTGACGTATAATTATTTGGTTTATAAAATTATGAATATGATTACAAATCTATGTTTTATACATAACAAAGTGACATTTCTAAAATTTATTAACTATAATTATAAATTTGATTATGTACTATTCCATACAACACAAAACATCCTATGACGTCTTAGGGGTATCTCAATGTTCTGAGGATTACTTCAGGACATTGAAATATCCTTACACTGAAAAATGATTTACTGAAAAAAAATCGATGATAAAATGAACTATAATTGCATGGTAAAAAAATTATAGTTGGAATACTCATTTTTATAGTAAATTCTACTATAATATTAGTTATATAACCCTATTCGCATGGTTCCGAGAAACAATAAAACTTTTTACTATAAATTTTGGTGAAATTATGGTTATTTCGACTATTCTTTTTTTTAGTGTAAAATGTCATACGATGTTTTGTGCTGTGTGGGATGTTTCAATTTTGTAAACTATATTCTTAATTTTATTTACTGAAACGAATTAATGAAATTATCATCGACTTCTCTGTAAAGAGAAAAATACCGACAATTTATATTATAATTTAATTTTTATGCATTTTTACGTATGTTTATTTTTTTATATATTTTTATTATTTTTCGTACTGTGTATAATGTGAATTTATTATTGTAACTTCTGTAAAAGTCTTCGAATGTAATGCATTAATTGTGGGTGAAATATATCAATTTAAATTTTAAATTGCATTTGTTCAAGAAATATTTATGTGATACATGATGCAGTTATCATAATACAATTAAATTCATCGTGAAAAAATGTGTTATTTCATTACTTAAAGGTAGAATATATTGTAGGAATTGTTTGTTCTTGCGTCAACACATGGCATTTTGTATCATTTTGTAATACTATACTTATAAAATGTACGAGATACTTAGCGTATTTATAAAAATAATTACAATATTTATAACATTTATATATATTTATTAATTTTTTGTTAACGTAATTTAATTTTTATAATTATTTCAAATAGTTTTAGAAGTTAAAAAATTTTAATGTTAATTATATATCTGTTTAAGTTTTACGTATGATTTATATACGGCTTGAGGTTAATGCATGTATTTTTGGTGTTTTATAGAAAATATTCAAAATGTTTTTTTTTGGATCTTGATACATTTCTGAATTCTTTGTTTAAATACTTTCTGACCTCTCTCAAAGATGTAATTCTATTGGTTTAATAAATGCTCGCTCAAAGTGCAGTCCAATTATTTATTTTTATATTTTTCTATAGGTACATTTATGTAAAAACTTAATCACAAGTTTAATTAATTTTTACACATTTTTACACTCAAATGCAGGACTTGTGTTAAATTAGTACACTAAAAAAAATCGATGATAAAATGAACTATAATTGCATGGTAAAAAAATTATAGTCGGAATACTCATTTTTATAGTAAATTCTACTATAATACTAGTTATATAATCCTATTTGCATGGTTCCGAGAAACAATGAAACTTTTTATAAATTTTAGTGAAATTATGGTTATTTCAACTTATTTTTTTTTCAGTGTAGTACATAGTATAAGCTATATATAGTGCTATTAATTGCGACAATAATAATGGTTTAATAATATACAAATAATGGTGTGTGTGATATTATTTTATTAAAGATATAGTTATAATGTATATATCTTTGTAAGTAAAAGTATAAACAGCGCGCGTAGCGCGCGCTAATGTATCTAGTAAAAATAAAATATAAAATAAAATATTATATTTATATACTTATTATTTGCTACAATATATCATAAATGTATATATATAAATGTATATATATATATATATGTATATTGCACGTTAGGTGATGGTCAATAAATGCATATGTATGAGACTGTCTATATTATATTGGAAATTTCTATAGAATGATAAATATGCATTCGCTCAATATGACGGGCTGCTATTGCATACACGTTCACTTGCATAATAACTCCAAAAATAATAAATTCAGGGATAATAATTATGAATTTTTAATTATAGTTATCTATTTTACGCAATCATATTTTATTATAATAATTAATATATAATTTATTGTAAATCTCATTTGACATTAATTTTTAAGTGATCTTTTTTTATACATATTATTCAATATATTTTCCTTTTTGGTTTTTGTAATATTAGAATTTTTTATTTACATATTGAAATAAAGAGATATGTATATTTTTAATATTTTATTTATATATATTGAAATTTTTGCAATGATAATCTTAAGCGACATCTAACCTTTTTATTTAAATATATAAATCGAATTTAATGCTATTGATCTCTCACAATCAGTAATATTGATAAGGTCGTACTCCGATTTTACATTTTTTTTTTAATTGAAAACCACTGTTTAGTGGAACTGCACATGCGCAGTGGGATCCGTTGACGCGTACATAACCTATTAGACAGTTGTTTTGATCGCTCACGATTTTGTGATTGCCGACGACCTTGCGAGATATGAACTGTTATTATAAAAATACGCGATAACGGTGAGAATGGCTGCGCCTCACCTAGGCGTGAGCGACATTGTTCACTTGAACGTTGGAGGCACTAGGTAAATTTAATATGTAGTTGTTATTTCTTAGTTTACTGTCTTATCTATTTTTATGCGAAGTTTAATCTTGATAAAGAACTGCAAGTTTTATGTAGTTTTTTTATGACATCTTATAGATTATCGTAATATTTTTATCTTACTAAATCTTTAGAAATATTTTTACAATTTGATCGCTAAGAATCAATAACACTAAATCTTTTTTTTCTTTTTCAGATTTTCCACATCTCGCCAAACATTAACATGGATCCAAGATTCATTCTTCACAGCATTGTTAAGTAATAGAATTGACAGTCATAAGGATGAGACTGGAGCACTTTTTATAGATAGAGATCCAAAATTGTTCTCTATTATATTGAATTATCTTCGTACCAAGGACATAGATCTGAAAAATGTAGACATTCGAACTTTGAGACATGAGGCTGAATACTATGGCATTACTCCTCTGGTTAAACGCTTGATACTCTGTGAAGACTTGACTCAATCATCCTGTGGTGATGTCTTGTTTTATGGCTACTTACCACCTCCAAGTAAGTTAATATTATGATGATTTATTGTTACCAATTACAATAATTGTTTTTGTTTTACTTTAAAGGCATACCGCTTCAAGAACCTGTCGCAGTAACATCAAATGTCAGTGATGTGTCTGTTCATATCAGAGTTGGCACTGCAAGCTCTCGAGGCGATGGACCATCTACCTCGCAATCTGTAGTAACCAACAACTCTATTAATCAAAATACTGCTGGTAATTTTTATGGATTTGTGTGAAACATGCTAGACAACGGAATTTTAGAGAAAAAAACTGACAATAACTGATTTTATTGCAGGTCCACAAAATCACAAAGGAACATTGGCTACACACATAAGGAATTCATCATTAGATTATCGATTGCCACAGCGTGGTTTGCCACATTCTCGCACACCATCTCTAGATCTGAGACACGTTAGGAATAATTCAGCTGATCTGAATAAATTATACAAAAATGATATTGGCCTTGTATTTGGGCCACAGCAAGGTGAGGCATCAATAAATCTTGATTTCTAAAATATATAATTTGAAAATTGTACAGCAAAAAATATAGTAATAACTTTTTGGAGATAAAAATGCTTTGTATTTATTCCCAATATTAATATATTTTATTTGCAGTTTCATCATGGGTGGATCCTCTGAGAGTCCAAATCATCAAAGCACATCACAACTGGATAGTGATTGCCTATGCACATTTTATAACATGTTATCGGTTAAAGGACTCCTCCGGATGGCAACACGTGTTCACTAGTCCACACATAGAGTGTATAATAGAACGCGTGGCGATAAATGCAAAGATGGGCAGTGGCGCGGACAGCAAAATGGTCGCCATTTCCTACGGTAGCCAAGTGAGACTTTGGGGTGTGTCCGAAGAAGGAATCAAGATCAACGTAGGTATATTCAACCTGAACGTACGGGTGGAATACTTGTTCTTCATCGGTAGTCAATTGGTCGCGTTGTCGCCGACTGGAAAAATCGGCGTATGGCATGCAATGACTCATCACTGGCAGATACAGGATGTAGTGCCAATTTTGTCTTTTGACACGGCTGGATCCTTCTTGCTGTTAGGTTGCAATAATGGATCAATTTATTATATTGGTAAGCGGAGATATAAAATTACATTACCGTATAATAATTTAAGATTAATAATAGTGTATCAATATATTTTAAAATAAAAATTTTAATATTCTAAATTTACAATTTACTGTATTAATATCTGCAATAATATTGGTTGTATGAATTGCAGATATGCAAAAATTTCCTTTGCGAATGAAGGATAACGACCTGCTTGTGACCGAGTTATATCGAGATCCGAGTTATGATCCCATAACTGCGATTTCTGTATACTTGACGCCGAAAACGAGTAAGTCTCTCTTGTATCTATTCTCATCTTAATAAGAATCTCGACAAATAACAAAATTATAGAAAACATAATAAAACTTTCTCAATTAGAGGCAGCTAGTACTACTATTCGTTCAAAGACGATTTCAACGAGTGACGTATTTAGATTATTTATTAAGACTGCTTAGTGCAGAATGTAATAACAAACGTCACTGTCACAGCAATTTGATTCCGCGGAGTTATTTCAGTTAGTTATTTCAGTAGTAGAGCCAAGATATGTGAAACAAACTTTCAATTAATCACATAAGTATAAATATAATTGTCACTAATTAATGTATATTTTACTCATTAAGATATTACAGGAATGTTATAAGTTTAATGTTATAAGTTTAATATCCTTAAAGATATTAATAAGAGTTTATTATTACATTCTTTGCTTCATCATTTCGTACAACTGGATAAATAGCACAAGGCAAGTATGGGTCGATATAAGCAGACATTCTGCTTCTTCACGTCCAACTTGTATCAAATCGAAATGTCATTCGTCTCCACTTTATGTTCTTTGCATCAAACGTGAATCGTGCGATTAAATAACAGCAAACGAATTCCCTTCCTCTCCAGACATTTAAGTTCTACACCGATGTACTAGCGCATAGTCATATATTTTCATGCATATTGGTAGTACAAAAAGAAAATCATTCATATTTGCAAGCATATTCTTCAAGCACTTATTTCAAGCATTTATTTTAGTAGAATACGAATGTACGCATAAAGTCTCTTTTTACAGATAACGAATTTACATGAAACACTGAGAATAATGTTAGCAATATTGCACAATTTACACACAACCCTGCTATCCTTATGCGTCCAGTTGTACTAATGCAGTGTTCTCTTTTATTTGTTTCTTTAAATTACTTTGCGCAGTGGGTTCAGTTGATCCGCTGTTAGAGCTGCTTGCTTGCTCTTCCTATTCATAGTAATATGTTCCATGCCAGCATCTGAGAGGGGGAGGGGAGGTAATAGAAAATATGTATCTGTGCTTGTGTGTATTTTTTTCATTAGTAGTACAAGTTTCTATAATTTTCGACTATTTTTTTCGAATAAATCAGCGCAAAGTTTTTTAAATTTATTGAATATTGATCATTACACACATAAACATGTAGTTCTCCAACTATAATATATGATTGTAATTATCGTTATATTCTTTTTTATAAATACATATCTGAAATAGCTTTTGCTTATTGTTGCAACGTGCAGCATGAGATATCATAAGCTTTACAATATTGTTTATATATCACATTATTTTAGATTAGTAACACATCTATATTCATTTAATATTTTTGTTCCGCTTATTGTTAGATATTTTCAAAATCTTTCATATCAATATTTATCATATCTGAAATTAATCCTCTGATACACAAACTATAATTTTACCCCATTTCTAAATTATATATAAAAAATAATACGGAATTTGATATAAGTACCAATTTAAATTAATAAGATGAAGACCTGAATTAATCAATATCGCAAAATTGTATACATCATTGGACAATCATGTGCGACATATTCATCTCCAAAGTGCATCAGATGATTAATGCAACATCAGAAGTATGTCCTTCTAAAAATATTTTACTCCCAACGCAGGCCTTTGTGGAAATTGGATAGAAATTGCCTATGGCACAAAATCTGGGAGTGTTCGAGTGATCGTACAACATCCCGAAACTGTTGGCCACGGTCCACAGCTATTTCAAACTTTCACGGTACATCAAAGCAGTGTAACCAAGGTATGTTCAACACCGATGGATTATCCAGTGGATTTTTCTACAAAATCTCCTGAATTAAATTGCAATGTTGTATATATCCATTTTATTAATTTACATGCAAATTACGTTGCAGGTAACACTCTCAGAGAAATACTTAGTGTCGGTCTGTTCAGAGTATAACCACGTCAGAAGTTGGGCGGTGACTAGATTTCGCGGAATGATTTCGACTCAGCCAGGATCAATGCCTGAGGCAAGCTTCAAAATCGTTTCCTTGGAAGCAATCGATCCTTGCGTCAGCTACAATGCTGGCAATGATTTCGGTACGTTGTAATGTTGCAAGTGTTTATGACTTATACGCAATGTGTGCACATTATTCTCCAATAAATTAATTTCTAAATGATATCTGTTCTCTTAGTTTCGATATTTTCAATAGTAAATATTTGTGTTCAGAATTCATTCTTTTCATTGATCTTTCTACAACATTTTATTTAACACTCGGATAATGATATTTACATAGGACCATTTGGCGAGCAAGATGACGAGCAAGTATTCGTCCAAAAAGTTGTACCTGAAACCGATCAATTGTTCGTGCGATTGGCATCGAACGGAAAAAGAGTTTGCGTGATACAATCGGTGGACGGCAGCATCATAAGCTCATTCTACGTGCACGAGTGTGAAGGTTCTAGTCGCATGGGCTCAAGGCCCAGACGCTTCATATTTACTGGCCATTCTAACGGCACTATACAAATGTGGGATCTCACAACGGCATTGGATCCGTCTTTCAATGCCACTCAAGGTAACTCTCTCTCTCTCTCTTGTATAGTGACGTAATGAAATTGGCAAATGTGACTCATATATCTCGGGTCCTACAGGAAGCAGAAAATTAGCACGAATCATACATCTGAATTCTACAGGAAATAAACAATTCTTTACTCTGTAACTCAAATATAATGTTAATTAATTAATGGTTTTCAATAATAAATACTTTTTATGAGATTTGTAACTGTCAAATTTTTACCAATTCTACTGTTTTACCAACAGATATCTCTGGTGGACCTACTCCAGAAGAGCTCTGGAAGTTATTGGATCAATGTGACCTGAGTAACAGCCATTGTTCGACACCTTGCATTAGTCCGTCGCCTTCGTTGATCGCAGCCGGACCCAGGATTAAGTCGAGCAACGTGTTATTTCTTAATCAATCGCAAAATCCGGACGCAACGCCTGGACCAAGCCAAACCTAAGGACACACCTAATCGAGGTATGTTGTGCCGGAAAACGTGCCGCAAAGCATACAGCCAAAATCTGCATTTATTTAATTATTTATTAAAACACTATAAAACGTCGAAAATGAAGTTTGTAGTCATAGTTCCTAAATTAACGTCTTTGCATTTACATGTAAAGAGACGTTTTGCTCTACTCTCTATTTATATATTTAAAGAGTTGCAATCCACAAAAGTATTATAATATAAAGAACATGACTGCATTATAAATTATTCTATAATCATATAATTGTAAATTATAGCCGTTATTAATGTTGTGATCGTTATTTTAATAGTACATTTGCTGTTCAATTGTTTTGTTACATTCAATTGTTTTTGAGGAACTATGATTATATCGCTCTTATTTTTGGGAAAATAATGAACAAATTATGAATTTTTATTTATCGTTATTTATGTCAATGTAATGAAATTTTTTGAAAATTTATTGTTTAATATTTGAAAATTTAATCATGTTTTATTTTCTATTTATTGTTATTACAAGAATGATCGAATTCACTTAAAAAAATCGATTTGATAGTATTTATTGTTCAATAATAAATTTTTATATTTTGAGTCGCATAAACCTGCTTAGTAAGATAAACTCGTGTAGGGAAGGGGATAGATATTTGGGAAAATTATTGACTGATAGATAATATAAGTTAAACGTCTTGTTTAGAGTTATATATTCTGTTCAATGTTGTAAAGTTGAATGGTCAAACACACAATGCGTAATTTTTTTTTCATGTAACATATTGAAGTAATTGTAACAAGTACTGTGACATTTTGATGGACGCTTATGTAAAGTTGTTATAAGTCGGTGTGAACATTGTTATATGGATTTCTATAGCAATCTGCATTTTTACTTAGACTGTAAAATACTTAATATTATTTCAACATGATATCGCTAATAACATCTCATGTTCTGAACATTATTTAAAAAGTTGATTTTGTCATGATACAAACTTATGTTTCGATTAACAATCGGTATACATTACGTATGCAATTCAAAGAGATATTATAAACCGAATTTCTTCATTATATACATAAGTACTTATTGTACTTTTGTTAGAATTCACTGCATATATAATGTATACGTGTTTTCTGATGTATATGTACATATATAAAATGTATTGTAATATTGTTGCGCAAAACTTCTGTGATTTAAATAAACCATTGGTATTATGTGTATAACGGCATTCTTTAGCGTTCGAGTATCTATCAATGCCGTTGCACATATATAGACATCGTAGTATATTGTACATACAGACTGTTATAAAAGTAGACGATTAGAAAGATCGTTTTAGAAACTTCCTTAATATGTTATATTACATTAATTATACTATAGTAGTCTATGTTACAATTTTTGTTTATACAAAACTTCCCCTGAAAAGATAGATGAACGTTAAAATACAACGAATACCTCATGATCGTGCAATAATACGATGTTGCAGCGTACGAATGTATGCGGCAAATCGTAAATAATACAAGACTTAGATCTCACTTTGGTTTTGCGAACAAGTTTACCTAGTTATTGTGACACTTGTAATTACCGCTATAAAAGTTTAATTAAATCTCAGGCACTACGGTGATACATTTCGTAACAATGTCCAACTGCACGATCGGTTAAATCATAGGTATATCGTTATCCAGTATGTAGCTGAAAGTAGTTTCGTATCATTTATCCTCTCCGTGAGACTTGAATTCACACGACAGACGTCAACGGATAAATATTGTACTGCATTAGGAGACACAAATACAAAATATCACACAAGAATGGAAACTGTTAGATTGAATGGTACAGACGGTATATGGCGGTTACGTCTTGCGTAAAAACATTTAGTCCTAATATTTGTTAAATCCTAGTAATCGTTAGAGACTGGACGTGTCTCATATAAAGTGTTTAGTCCAGAATAAATTATTATTGAACAATGATGGATGGGTCAGCGGCGTCAACAGGAAGCACCAAGCGATCAAACCGATCACAAATAAACACAACAGTCCGATTCTCTTCAACGGATCCTTGTACGCTACGACTTCGGAAAGATCGGGAAATCCCATGTGATTGCAAAAAGAATGCGCGGCGAACGGTGCAACGAAATGTCCTGAGGAACACATATAAATGCGAATATAAAGTCTCAACGACTATCTTACAATAAAAAGAGAGACAGTTAAATGATCTCACCTGTCTTCGCGAAGAGGAAAGCCGCATACGCTCCAAATAATGTCGTATATGCAGATTGAAAACCTATTTTCAACATGCAATTATGTTTTTTTTTTCCCTTGAATAATAAGATTCACAAATGTGAATCAGGTTTCTTTTGAAAACTCACAGGATATGAACAAGGCGTGCTTGATCCCCATTCCCATCTTTATCCGCTCCACCACATGATGAAAATGTGCTACCCCGAAGAACAAGGGACAGACAAATATGGCAGTGGTCGGTGTAAAGCACTGCAGAAGTAACGGCAACATACAGGCTCGGAAGGTCCATTCTTCGGATAATGGAGCGACCACCTGATTTCTCCACCAGATCAACGTTCGCACACTTCCCAACCAATACATTGGTTCTGAAAGGAAATTGATTACTGTAGTTGCAGAATTTTAAACCTTTGTTTAGTTAGGATACTAACCAGTGTATAACCGCCACAGCCCATTGAATCCCTGCAGGCTTAAGGGACCTAGGAACAAGATCATCGTAAGGAGCAATGGTATCACAGTCGCCTGTATCAAACCTGACCATCGTAGACCCAACAACTCCCAAATGGTTGCCTGTCAAGTGTCGTGTGTAACGATAAAAAATTATTGATGATTTACACAAGATAGCGCTCTATTGTTTAAATTAAAAATACCTTTTGAAATATTTTCTCATTAAGTCCAAAATATAAGGGTGCTGGTGAGAGGAGAGACATAATAAATACGCTAAAAAATCGTTTCTTTATCGTTGACGGATGCTCTCTGAAACATAAACAATCGGGTATAAATTTTAATATCAAAGTTTGTCACATTTTATAAGAAAATGTGTTACTGTAGTTTAACATTTTGAAAATTGAATTATTAATATTACCATTTTAAATGCAATTGCTTTGTACTTAATGCAAAGAGTGATATCGCATATGGTTATATATGTATATATATTTGCTACATTATGTTTGCATAAATAATTTAAATGACATACAAGATATCAAGTTCAAGTTCAAATATTGCGCCGGATAAACGGAAGATTGCGATTAACGAATAGACTTCGTACTTGTACAATGCTACCAAGAGTTATTACATTACATCACCAGATCCTGAAAAGTTACTGTATCATTTCATAGATTTCCAGTACTGGCAGTGAATTTCCGAACACAGCCTAAAACGAATAGACTTCGTACTTGTACAATGCTACCAAGAGTTATTACATTACATCACCAGATCCTGAAAAGTTACTGTATCATTTCACTAGGATATTCACGCGACTGCGCTGGCATCGCTTGTCCAAAAGCGGCTCAATGACAGAGGGCGCTGCCACGTGCAGAACGGCGTGCGTCAGTCACGGATATCCATCCGGTCGGTGTAAGACAGTATTGTGAATGACTTACGGAACGAGTAGTGGCGTTGACGGGACGACAAAAGGCGAGCCTTTTAAACGAGAGGACTCACGGGGGACGGGGGACATTCGTGACACGGGGAAAGACTGTCGTCAGAACGAGAACGTGAGCCGTCCTGTTGACGTGCAGTGTGGTATCGACGCTGTCTGAACATTGTGATTGTCACCGCGAAGAGATACACGTACCTGTTGTGCGGCGAACTCCAAACATACAGACTCGCCACGTAGACGATCGAGAGTGCGAGGCACGAGAAGATCGCGGAGATGCAATTTTGCGAGTTATCGGTACTTCGCTCCGCGGCCTCCATAACTCCATAACCGATGTCGGTCGCTTGTGTCGCGCTCCACTGCGGAAGGGGGGCTCGGTAATAAGCCTCCGAGGTTGGCGGGGAGATAACGAGGGGGAGGGGGCGAGGTCCGGGTGCTCGCGGGACGAAGAGGGTTGAGACCGTCGGTGCGCTGGTTGAATGGGGGGTGGGAGACGCACGGCACGCACTCGCGGGGCAGAAACACGTCCGATTGGCGGCTGCCCTCTGGGCCAGTCGGCAAGTCGAGACTAAGAAGATGGCCGCCGTGTACGGTGGTAGTGTCGCTATTGTGTAGTGTGTCCTAAGCTTTTGGCAGCTTCTGCCGTGCGCGTTCGCGATTACGGTATCGCGGCGGCTGCCCTACTGCCGGGGAGGGTACCGCCGGACATCGCGCACCCTTGCAACCGGGAAGTGCGCCGAGCTGCGACCGAAAGCGGATTACGAGGCGCAGCAGGAAGAGGAGGAGACGGAGGCTAACGACGGCAACGGGGACGTACACGAGGACGACCGCCGAGGGCCGCCGACGACACGAAGATGCCGAGCGCGTCGTTCTCGTCGTCGCGCAGCTACGTGCGGAGGTCGCGTCGGAAAAACGGAAACAGGATCCCTTTGCCATCCACGACGAGAACTACGGGTAAGCGAACGAACGAGCGAGCGAGCAAGCAGGCGAGCGTGCGTGCGTGCGAGCGAGTGCGACAGAGAAGGAGCGAGTGAACGAACGAGCATACGAGCGAGCGAGCGAGCGAGCGAGTGAAGAGGGACGGACGGCGAGAGCGAGCGAGAGCAGAAGAGAGATAGAGACAAAGAGAGTCTCGCAGAGCATCGGGGCTCTGTGCCCCCAGCACCCTGCTGCTCACCTGTCCGTCCTGCTGCTCGCCATCGCCCATCTCGTTCTCAGGAACACAGCGACGGGTGTCTGTGCACACGTCTCCGTGTCCGCATCGCAGCTCCGCCATCTCCGTCGGGCCTTTGTCTCCGTGCGCGATGTATGCGCGTGGCACATGCACCACGAACGCACGCCGCGTTTCCTGCGTGCCGTCACAACGCTCCTCTTTATCCATCTGTCTTTATCCGTCTGGCTTTTTACGATTTTTTTTCCGTCTATTCTCCTAAGATTCCTTCCTCCTTCCCTCTTTCTCTCTTGGAATTTTCCACGTATCTTTGCCTTAGAATACAAAGAATTAGAAAAACTGTTAGAAAAAGAGACGCAAACTTTCGCACAAACTGCGAGGAGAAATGTTGACATTCTGATAGAGCTATATAATCATTTATGTTGTGGAAAGCGAATTAACGCTATACGTCCGTAACTGTTGTGTATGTGTGTGTGTATGCGTGTGTATATGTGGGCTTTCGAGCTGTATGCTTAGCCGTGCGTGCTTCCAAGACATTTCTAAGTATTGCAACTAAGGTTATATACTGCTGAATATGCATTCATTGGCTTTCAGTGGCAAAACTGTCAAGCAGGGACTCGGCCTAACCATAGTTATGGTTGTAGCAACAAAGAAACTTGATCAATCTTCGTTAATGCTAAATGATATCAGCATTATTGCGATAGCAGCAATATTCTTTTATTTAATTGTGCTCATTTTGAATTGTTTTTTTAATATTCATGTAAATTCTGATTGGGACGGCCATATTGCTTTTCGGTATTGTGGACAATTTCTGATCGGCAGCTGCGCATCCACGGGATACAGCCGTGGTCTCGAAGATAGCGGTCGAGGAAAGTCTCACGATTCTGTTTTTTTATTTTTATTTTTTTATTTATTTATTTATTTATTTATTTTTTT